TCTTTAGATTGTTCTTTTTTTATGGTGTCCTGAGACAACGTATAGTGTGACTTGGCGCCATATAAATAAACTGAATTGAATTGAATTGAGTTAAAATTGCCACAATCACAGAAATGTTAAACTGAATGTTGGTGCATTGAAACAAAGAGCATTCAATAAATTGAACATGAATGCATGGTGTACTCCGCAAGTAATACATAGTGATTTTAACACAGTTTATTCAATTAAAATGGCTGCATTCTGGGACTGCAAAATATACAGATGATGTCATAAACTCTGAAACAAACAGTAAATCTGTGTGACAGAAACTCAAAATGATAAACTGGAGCATAGCTCCTCAGCTGGGAAGATTTATTAGCCTACATGGCTTTGGAACTATGACCCTTTTCACATGCCAAAGGTGGTGGAGAATAAATTTAGGTCATTCTGCTAAGCAAGAATCCATCCATCCATCAATTCTCTTTAGCTGCTCTTTTGTTCAAGGTCGATGAGGACCTGGCACCTATCGTCTGGACAGGTTACATATCCACTCACACCCAGTGACACTTTAGTTACTAATTATTTTAAGGGGGTGGGGGTATTATGTATTTTCCAGGCACATAATTAATTTATACACCACAATCAAGTAACTACCTTCAGTTGTTATGAAAATGCTGTATGTATCAAAGATAAATTTGAATTGCATAACCTATCTAAATTGATCTGTATCTTTAAAAAGTCCTACCATTAACACTTCCACTTGAGCAAGTCTTCACAACAAGTTGTTTGCAATCTTTTGTAAGAGTGTTGTATTTTGTTGTTAAAAAAGAAACAACTTTATGTAATGGTTTTGGAAAATGGCAAACCAGGATATAGTTGAACTGTATTCTAATGATCTCACGTTGGACCCAGAAAGTTTTCTGAAGAACCAGAGAGAGTACAGCAGCTCTTTCTTACTGTATCTCCAAGTCATTCTCTCATACGTCAATGTCAAGGTACTTTTTGCTAAAAGTCTATAAATATGAATTAGAAAGCTATGTTTTGCAGTTAATTCATGAACATCCGCCATTTTTAAGATGTGTTTTATCAGTCTGGTAGAGCTGTGCAGGGGAGGCACGGGGAAGGGGTGCTCTGCGCGTCAGCAAGGAGATTGGTTGGGGACTGAKTTCCAGGGAGGAGCTTTGGATAAATAGGCGGTGCTTTGTATGAGCAAGCATTTTTGMACCTGGCAACTACGGGAGGTTCAAAGATKTCTTAAAACATCCATAAATGAGTCAAAACAACAATCTGAGTAAGTGTTTGATRAGATGACATCAAAACATGAACTAAAATCCTCAACAAGTTTGTTTTGTCTGATGCCCCACCTTTACATTCATGTCATTTGTCTTTGAAAAGAAAATGAACACATGAACATGAATGCAAACTTGACAGAAATACCTCCGGCAGAAGGCGAACCTGTGACCTTCTTGCTGTGGGGCGACAGCTTTAGCCACTTCACCACTGTGCTGTTAAGTATCGGAATATTTCATGAGCTTTATTTTATCACTTCACGTTGGACATTCCTCCTAAAAGCAACTTCTTGAAGCTTATAAAAACAACACAAATATTCCATCTAGTTTTATTTTAAACTAAAATCTCAATTTCAAGTTGATGTCAAGCTGAGAAATTGCTCWGAATTTTTAATCCCAATGAAAAAAATTACAAACATGAAGATAATAAAAAATATATCTCAATGATCTTCACTACATATGACCTCAGTAACTTTAGTAAGCATCATTACCCTGTCCTCTGTGGGTAAGGAAGAGACTGACTAAGATGCCATTTCTCCAGACATTATTGCTGATACTGTACCAGATGGTAGTCTGACAAGCAAGAAATTAGACAGATGTATATTTTACCCTTGGCAGAAGGCTACTGGGGGGAGGGGTGTAGGATAACTTTATAATCATAGCAGTCAGTCATTTCATACTTAAAAAAAACTTTCAATATAAATTTATATAAGGTACTGGAACAAAACAAAGGTGGGATGAAATGACTGCAGCTATGTCTTGAAATATTTATGTTAGGAATTCTGTCAGTACAGTGTAATGGATGCACCTGTTCTGTAGTTTAAGACTGATGAGTTGGCTGCTTTACACCAAAGCTGGAAATAAACCACTGCCCTTTTTTTTTTTTTTCGTTTTGCTGACTACAATGGAAAAAGTGAAACAAAAAGAAATCACTTATAAGGTTTCTGTAACAGTGAGTTGGGTTTATACTGAAAAACATACAACTGATAAGCAACTCAAGCCTTTGTTGTAGCAGTGGCAATGGCATAAACTCGTCATGTCTTTGTTTCCACTTCTGATACAGTGAACATGTAAAACAAAACCTTGGTACATTTGAATACACAAAATATTATTTATTTTTAACTAGTTCAAAATTATTTTTGGAAAGTTTGAACCAACTCCACACTGCAATCATTTCTCATCTACAACATTAGCCAATAATGAACCCATCATTGCAGTTTCCATTAAATTGGTCAATATTTTTCAAAGATTAGCTCACTACCAGACTTTGAAATGCCCTCTATAGACTTGCAAAATATTTTAAATGCAGGTTGATTTCAGTTCAACACTTGTAAATCACATAAATCTTCTATTTCATGCTGATYGATTTTTGATGAGCTTTTTAACAAGTTTTTTGTTACAAATAACACCAAATGAATTCCTGTCTTTGGATAAATGAGGCACTTGGCACAAGCTAGCTAGTTGTTCCTGGTCAGAGGAGGTAAACAGCAAAAACAGGAAAACATTTTTTTGATTACTAACATAATAAAATTGTGTACTTATATATCAACCACTCAGATATTTAACTTCAAGTATTGCTATTCAAAATTAAGAGCAAGCATAGTCAGCTTTAGGGATTAAAGACTGACCATTGTAATCTTTATGACCTTAGAA